TTGTTGCTTGCCGTAGTCATTTGACCATTGACCACGCGTCCCTTTCGAGACGGAGCACCGTTCCTACCCCTACGAGAAACACCAACATTTGGGAGCTCTCTACGTTTCTGCCACAAGCTACATAAAAATTTCTTGCACATCTTATCCCCGTCCTCTACGGCCTCTTGTGCCCACCATCTATCCCCAATTACCGCGATCGTTTTTTCGCTGTTGTCTAATTTACCAAACTTGTCCATGTCACACCCTCTCTGTCTCATGTCCTCCTCGAGATCCTCTCTTTCCTTCCTGTACAGCTCACACTCCCCAACTATGTGGGGTCTACTCTCCTCCGATTTGCCACATGGACATGTCTGTCTATCCTCCTCTTCCTCTCTCCTACGGCTGCTGTACCTCTTCCTCCGTTCTGGCAAGTCCAGATCGCCTACTCGAAATTGCAACTTCAGTTTTTTTGCGTAGTCCATGGGGCCGTCCAAGTAACTCTTCATCCCTATCCCTTCTTTCAACTTCCCGTATATCTCCAAGTGGTCTTCGCTTCGTACCTTCTTCCGAAGGGTTGCCTCCTCCCTACTTTCTAGCATCTCCTTGACTTTCTTCTTGAACCCCCCGAACCCTTCCGTGTCCAATGTCTCCTCCTCGTCTCCTATCTCCTTCCAAACCCTCTCTACCACCTTGTCCCATCTGATTCCTTTCTTCCCTGGAGTCGCTTTTCCCCAAGCTGCCTTGTCAACCATGGCTGGTAGTCTATCGTCCGACATTCTACTTACCTTGTACTGCCAATTCAACTTTTGCATGTCTCTCTTTGTTTTAAGAGAGTACATTCCCAGTTCTGCTCTCAATACAGTGTTGCTCGTTGTACTTGAACATCCTAGTATTTTCTTGGCCGCTGCCATCTGCACCGTTTCCAGCTGCTTGACGGCCTTTTCGTTACCTTCCCATACCTCTCCTGCACACGCTATACCTTAGGTACAATCACATTCGAGAGAACACACCTCTTAATGCTAGTATCTAGGTGTGGGTCCGTAAGGATCTCGTCCATCTTGCCTATCTGAGCTTTACCCTTCCCAATCAACTTTGCTATGTGTGCGTCCCATGAGCACTCCTTCGAAATCTCTACTCCCAGGTACGTATACCTGTCTACTACCGGTAGTTCTTCCTCCCCCCATTTCCATTTGAATTCTACGGGATTTTTCTTGTCTTCGTTACAGACCACTACTGCGCATTTTCCTACGTTCGCCGACAGTCTCCATTTTCGGGTGTATCCTACTGCCGCATCTATTTGTTCCTGCAACCCTTCTGGTGTTTCGGATACCCCCACGAAATCATCTGCAAACATCAGTCCGGGCACACTCTTTCCCCCTACTTGGACTCCCTGTCTTACTGCTTCAACCGCCCTTATCAAGTCGTTGATGTAAATCTTGAAAAGAGTGGGTAACATCGTACTGCCCTGTGCGACTCCTTGGAGTATATCCACGTACTTCGAGATTTCCCCATCCGACATCACTGCACTTCTTGTGCATTCTGTCATCTTTTTCAACATCCTCCACGTTTTCCCCCGGACCCCTATGTCCCACATCTTTTTCCACAATCCATTGCGCCAAACGGTGTCGTAGGCTTTTTGTACATCTAGGAAGAAACAGTATGTCGTACGCCCGGCGTCTTTCCTACCTTGGATAATCTTACTCAAACGTATATACATGGTCTAGACAACAACGATCTGGTCTAAATCCAGCTTGTCCTTCGCTGATCTTTTGTTTCCCCTCCAACATGTCTCCCATTCTATTGTTGATCATCTTGCCAAAGAGTTTCTCCACTGTTATAGGTGTCAAAGCGGAAAATTTCCTCTAGGTAAAATTCGAAAAAGCGTCCTCGGATCTTGCTGATGGAAAATCGACCAACCAATGAAATTGCACGAAACCGTCGGAACCTCCCGAAAAGACCCTCTGACGCACACGCGCGAGGGCGCGGCTCGCCTGTGTGCTTTGCGCCCTGCTATGTGGCACAGCACAACACCATTGCGCGGTCCCACTCTAGAACACATGCCTCATGACACACCCGAGCAGCAGCCGGGCGGTGAAGCCACGCAGACACCTGCCGCCGCCGCTGCTGCTGCTGAAACAAACAGCAGCAGCAGCAGTGGCGGCGGCGGCGCCGGCAGCGAGGTTGAGCCTGGCTCTCTTCCACAATTTTCTTATTTTTGACCAACTCCTCCTTCGTTTCCTCCAGCGTTCTCTCTATGACGGTGAGGCTGCCGCGTTCGATAGCGCGCCGCGTGTTATCTTCTGCTGACGTGGCAACCATACACTGCCCCGTCCTCTCTTCAAACTTCGTTTTGTGTTGATTCAGCTTTCGCGCAGCGCGCCTCCTGCTGCCGAACGGCGCGGACCTCGATTTTTTTTTGGGAGGGTCTGCTGGTGTGGGCACTGCAGCCTCTCTGGAGGGGCCGTTTTCACACACGTAGATCTCGTGGTCGGCTGATGCGATTCGGATGCGGTTTGTTGTGTAGTATAGCTGAAAACCCAAGGTAGAGGGCTGTAAGCTCGCTTTGTCGAGAGGAGCAACGGTCACCTTGGGCGTGGAGCAAAGAGCCCAAAAAAACATGTTTTTTGGTGTTGTTCGTCCGCCGTTTAACTTGAAGAGAAAACCGAGCTTGCAGTTACCTCTATTGGACCTGTGTCCAGGTGTGTGTAACGCATGAAGAGCCATGCTGCTGTCTGGACGCAGAGCTTCCTGTACAAACAAATTGACTTGATGTATAGTTTATTCAGTATTAACCTCGGGATTCTCAAGAAACAAAAAACGAACCAAATCCGCGTGCCCCCCTCAAATTTTGCCGAATGGACCGGACGTTGTTTTGGCCCCAAATTCCGCCGCTTTAACACCCCTAACTGTGCTCAGCAAGGTTATCCCTCTATACTTCCCCGGGTCAGTTTTATCCCCCTTTTTGAACAGGTTCAC